CAGGGCCAACCCCCAGCCCTCAGGGCCCTGCAGCAGCCTCTGCACCCCTGACACTCCCCCAGACCCCACATCCCCCACTGACCCTCCGGCCCCACAAGCCCCCCAGGCTCTCACAGATGGCCGCCAGCCCAGCCTCACACCCGCCGCTGCCCTCACAACCACCCGCAGGCCCTTCCCAGCCCCAGGCTCCCCACGAGCACCCCCAGGCGCACCGGCGCAGGTCGGCGCGCTCGGCGCACAGCAGGAGCCCGCTGAAGCAGTGCCAAAAGGGGAAGCGGGTGAGCAGGACGCCGCCGCCCGCCGTCAGCAGGCGCAGCGCCCGCCGCCTCCACCCGCGGCCCGCCGCCATCACCGGGCCGTCCCGCCGGAAATGCCGCGCAGGAAGAGCCGCCTCGCGGGCCAATCAGCGCCCCGCAAGGGGAAAACCACGCCCCCTGGTACAAACCACGCCTCTTTAATTGGAGAGCCCTCATGACCCTCAGGCCGCGCCCCTCCGTTCAATGGCGGCTCCTGCCCCAAAACCGCGGCCCCGCTCCGGAACAGCCGCGCCCATGGAGCCTCCAGCCCGCCCTGGGCCGCGCCTTCCCCCCAAAAACCCCGCCATGGCCTAAACCGCGCCCCGTCAATCAAACGAACATTCATTGAAAATGCCGCGCCAGGCCACGCCCCCCGCCGAAGCCACGCCCCATAATAAAGGAGTAACAAAGCCCACCCAAACCACGCCCACTCATGTTAGCCACGCCCCTCGCGAGGCCACGCCCCCATTGAGCCCCCACAGACTGCGGTGATGGTTAAAAAAATTTCGGGTTTTTATTGTTTTTTGCTAAACAAGACTAAAAAATTTTCCTTTTTTTTTTCTTTTTTTTTTAATTTTTTTTTAATCTTTAATTTTCCTAAAGGCAGGGCTTGAATTGTTTTGAGTTTGATCTGCTTTTTTTTTTTTTTTAATTAAAAAAAAAAAAAAAAGGAAAGAAACAAAATGGGGAGGGGGAGGATCGTGGCAAAAAAAAATTAAAATTAAAGAAGAAATTTAAAATTAAATGGAAAAGGGGAAAAAAAATTTAAAAACATAAAGGAATTGGGGGGAAAACCCCAAATCCAGGTTCTGGCTGCTCCCGAGGGGGTGTTAAAAGGGATTTTTTGCCACGACCCTAAAGCAGACAAATATTTAAAGAACATTTTAATATATATTCATATATATATTTAAAGATAAGAAAAATAAGACTAATTCAAGCCTTGCCCTGTGCAAACAAAATTAAAACGAGACCACGTTGGTCACGAGGGTCCCGGGTCAGCCACCACAGTCAGCTCGTTAGCTTTATTTTCTGGAGGGATTTTTGGGGAAAAGGGAGGCAGGAATTGGGTGGAAAACAGAAAAAAAGGCCAAAAAATAAAATTAACAGAGTCTGACTGGCTGGAGGGAGAAACCATGGCGGAAAAAAACAAAGTCTGTTAGTCAAGTAATGCGTGAGAGGAGCTTTAAATTATTCTCTTTTCTCGTTTTGTTTTTGAAGTCTAAAGTTTGGAATTGGTTGAGATTCCCCAAAAAAAAAAAAAAAAAAAAAAAAAAAAAAAAAAAAAAAAAAAAAGAAGGGGGGCCCCC